ACCCTAGCCTGTTCCCTCACATTCCCTCAAGTTTCTACCTATTATGATCAAAAGACCCTCATATGGAGGGTTCATTATCATCCAGGTATTTGTAAATACACATCATTCTCTCATTCTGAAATAATTTTCCAAAGTATGTTCCCAAGATGTTCCACCAATCAACCAACTGCCAATTCACCTAATCCCACAACCCGGTAAATATGGGAAACACAGAACACTCGGTCTAATCCTTGCATAATAGCATATTAAAGTCTCTAAGAAGTCCTGTAGTTACTGTTTAACTTTATCCTTAACCTTACCTAAGTGTTTTCCGAACTTAATCGGTACTCCTTGTGCTACCCATTTTTTTTTTTTAAGATTTTATTTATTTATTTATTTGAGAGAGAGAGACACAGTGAGAGAGGGAACACAAGCAGGGGCAGAGGGAGAGGGAGAAGCAGACCTCCCGCTGAGCAGGGAGCCCGGTGCGGGGCTCGATCCCAGGACCCTGAGATCATGACGTGAGTCGAAGGCAGACGCTTAACCAACTGAGCCCCCCAGGCGCCCCTGAAATGTTCCACTCTTGACTGAGGGAATGAAGTCACTGTGACACAGAAAAGCAGCCTTGATTCCCCACGCAAGTGCAGAGCCTCACTTAAAGAGTTCTGAACACAGCCCTGCATACTTATTTTAACTCAGTGGTTCCCAAAGAAACGACCTGGGTGCGCCTCCCAGTACAGACCAGATATTGACCCCTTTCAGCACAGCCCCGCATTGCTTGGAGCCTAGCAAAATACTGCTTCATTTACATTTCACTGCATTCCTCCTCCAAACTGGTAACTACTGTTTTTTATTTGGTGCGATGGTGCTGCACAGATTCTCCCATGCAGCCTCCCCTGTGCAATGAGCCAATAAACCTTTGTGGGGGCAAGTGTCTGTCTTGGTGCTCTTGGGCTGATTCGTCTGGGGCAGGGACTAGAAAGGACAAAAGGTCTGTCAAGCCCCGTGGAACACCAGCAACCACTGCTAATCTCTCAGAAACCCCAAATAAGCTCCAGGGTCCTATGTGAACCAATGTGTTTTTTTCCAACTGGTGACTGTGAACTTGAGAAAGGGGACCCATGGCCTCTATGCCAATTTTACAAGACTCTGTCCAATATAGAGCCTCGTTAAATTGGAAGTCGTTTCTAATTCTCCACGTGCTCAACCATGAGTCCATGGCACCTTTCTGGGCTGTATGGGGGGGATATCGAGTAGAACACATAGCCCCCACCTCGAGGGACCAAGGATCGCCACAAGCCACCCTTTGTCACCACCCCAGGGGACAACTCCTAAGAAGGGAGTCAATGAACAAAGTGCCCAGAAAGGTGGTACAAATGTCCAGGGATGGAGTGAGGGGAGGTCAGGCAGGGAGGGCAGGTTTAGCCTTTGCCCCATGGTCATCATGTATTCCAAAGCCTGACCTGCCTTTGTTCAAATTTTATCAAGGATTATCTTTTTCCTAACCCTCCTGCTCAACTGGTCCTCTGAATCTCCAAGACTGAACTGTTTGTTCAGAAAGATGCTAAATAGCCATTTCTCCGGGCTCTTTTTCTATCCCACAGAGGCCACAGATCTGCATCAACTGTAGTAAGAGTCGGGGAAATTCCAGATGTGGCGAGCTGGAGGAGTCTCAGGGTACTTCATTTATGAATATTTAGACAGTTTCCCTCTTGTTATGAAAATCATGGCAATCTGTTCCCAGCATGCGTTTCAGATGAGTTTCAATATCATAAAAACTTTACTGGGGGAGGGGAGAGGATGTTAGTTGTTTAAATAAATCCTGATCAGCTGAGTTTCACTTTCCCTCAGAAAAGACCCATCTACATGAACATTTTTTGAATCATCATAACTTAATCCTTTAGCTTGCTGAGGACAGAGATGTGAGGAAGGGACTTCTCTCCTCTGAACTGCCAGGTAGTTGTTGTTAGAGATCTGTCTTCTACCCAGAAGCCCTGCTCCCAAGCTCAGGGTCATTTCTAATAGTTAGCCAGCACTCTGTGTCCTTCCACCTGAACATGGGAGTTGCGTCAAAATCTGAAAGCAGCAAAATGTTCCCGCTGCAGGGGCTTTTTAGTGTACCTAGGTGCTTTGTGGAAATCAAGGGAGAACAAATACCCCAGAATTTGCTCTTGACAATGAAAACCAGAAAGTAGGTTGGGTGATATTAACTGCAGAAATTCTTGCTCTGGGTCCATGAAAAACATCTGTCAATAAACATCCTTCAAGCCTTCGCTGACAGTGAGAATTCTCCTTCTGACCTGCTACCCACTTACACGCATACTTACACCTACACCGATGACATCTCATATTCCTACTGAACTGTTCCCATCTGCCTTCTGCCCCTCCCATCTGGCTGCTCAGTTCTTTGAACGCAGAAACCTTTTACTCTGAATCATAAAGCTTTTGGAATTGAATCAGAGGATGAAGATGCTGAGAGCAACCTCAGGGGTTTTCTCTAGCCCAACCCTCTGACTTCAAAGGCAACACAGACAATGAAGAGCAAGGCCAGAGAAATAAAATTACTGGCCAAGGTCACACACCTAGCGCATAACACAGCTGGTCCTGGAATCCGCACTGCCGACTCTTAGCCCAAACACACCACCCAGCCTCTGTAAAAACACTCGTCAGTAACAACCCATCCCCTCACCGTGAAGCTTCCAGAGAGCCAGGTGGATGGACATAATTAATAGATACTTGTAGGACTGAACAAGGCTTGGGTTAGAGCCAGGATCCTCCCACATGCTTGAAGGAGCTGAATATTCGGATCTGTGTTAATACCTAGGCTCAGGAAGCCCATCTTAGATCCCAGAATTACTCTCAAACTACACTGCCCAATATGGTGGCCACTAGGCACATGTGGCTACTGAGCATTTGAAATGTGGCTGTTTCACATTAGATGTGCCATGCTTATTATAAAATACACGCTGCATTGTGAAGACTCATATAAATAAAGAATAAAAATACCTCACTTAACAATTTTATACAGGTTAAATGTTGAAAAGATAACATTGGGGATATATTGAGTTAAATAAAATATACTTAAATTAGTAAGTTCACTTGTTTCTTTTTCAAAAATATGGCTACTAGATAATGTAAAATCATGTATGTGGCTCACATAATATTTCTATTAGCCAGCACTCCTCTAACACACAGCTATCTACCTCCCCCAGCCCAACTAATCTTTCCAGAAAGACTCAAATCTCCTGTCTGCAGACATTACAGAGGGTGAAAAGAAAGCATCAAGGACATGATCTTATCCTAGGGCTAGTTCTTGAGACCCAAGGATTAGTCACTAAGCAGGCCTCGCAGACTGTCCTGCTTTGTGCCATATCCCTACAAGTGACCCTCGGGTCCCTACTGCTCAGCCTCCCCCAAAAGCAACCCACAAGTCACCCAAGGTCCCATTTCCTCTGGATAGAGGTGAACAATCTACAGGGAATTTCGACTTTACTTCTATGGGAACTCTTGTTTTGACTTTACTTCTAATGGAAACTCCATGAAGAAAAACTCAGTTTCTCGGATTACTATTTCTGCAAACCATCAGGTTGGAAAAGACCACTGGCTGTCACATGTCATGAGGACAGCCTGTCCTGGGGACCATATTCCAATCACCTTTGAGGCTTGATGGGTCTTCTCCTTTTCATTTTGCTGCCTATTCCCCATTCTGGCTGTCCAAGCAACTTTGCAAATAACAGTGATCATTTATAACCTTGTTAATAGCCATAACTACAGAATAAGTAGTTGAATGGAAGGAAGGGCAGGGCACTGTCCAACAAAAGAAATGTTTGCATAAACAATTTAACGTTTAATTCTTCAAAATTCCTTAGTGCCCAAAGGCAGGTTTAGTGTGATAAGCCTATAACCTGCATGAATAAATATGGGGCCAGTTTCTCCTTAGGAACATGCAAGAGCCTCAAACAGTGGTTCTGAAGTTGTGGGCCCTAAACCAGGAGCAGCAGAGGCACCTGGGAATTCCTTAGAAAAGCACATTTTCAGGTCTCACCCCAGACCCAGTGATTCAGAAATTCTGGAGGTGGGACCCAGAAATGTGGGGGGTAGGGCCCAGCTCTCCAGCTGATGCTGAAGCACACTCGAGTGTAAGAACCACGGGGCTAGAGCCTCAGGCGAGGGGGCTTTCTGCCTAGTATCGGGAGTCTGACTGCACCATTAACAGACGGAAGGCATGTAGATCTCATCTGAACCCTAAGCATTAAGGGAGAGCTCTGGCATCTGCATCTGTACCATCCCTGAACTTATTTATCAAAGCCACCGTTTTTGGCTTGGCAAGCCCCACAAATTCATTTTCTGAAGTCTAAGGCAGTCTCACTCACATGCTCTCGAAACGACCTGTTCTGCCGTGCAAAAGGAGCTTCTGGTATATCATTTTGCAATTAAAAGAATAAAGCTATGCTTTGCTCTTAGATGAATCATAATTATATATGTGTGATTTATGTTCTCTCAATCTTTGGCTTTCCAAACTAGATTAGTAGTCTGTCCACATTATCCTCATAAGAAAATCTGAGGCTGAAAAGAAAAAAAAAAACAAAACATAAAATCTGTAGAAGGAATTGAAGTAATTGTTTCTGACCAGAGCCTGCCCAGAACACCCTAGTTACTGGAAGGATAAAGAAAGGAACTGGAGGCTTGCCAGGTTAAGAACTACAAATTCAGGATGCCCAGGTACATTTGCATTTCAGATGAACAACAAATAGTGCATGGGACTTACTTGTAACCAAAAAATTATTCACTGTTTATCCGAAATGTCAATGTACCTGGACATCCTGTATTTTAACTGGCAACAATCTAGAGTAGGGAATACTGCCCTTTGGGAAGGTTGTGGGGAGACAGCTATCCTCAAACCCTTAAAGAGCTGTCAGGAGAAAACTGAGCTAATACCAATATAGACTCGGAGACTAAAATTTGTGAGTAAAAGTTATAGGAAGAGCATATGCGGCTCAATGGAAGAAAGACATCTGTACGTAGAGAGATTGCAGCCGAGAGGCATGGAGAAAGCCGTCAGGAAGGCAGGGTTTGGGAGTGCTGGCTGAGGGCGGAGGCTAAAAGACAGGGCCTCCCGGGCCTGAAGGCCTGTGAATCCCCAAACTGTTGAGATGCCATTCTCCAGAATCTTTCTGCCTTCCAAACTATGCAAAGTGCTTGGGTTTACATGGATAAGTCCTGGCTCTGCACATGGGCAAGATACAGGTGGCAGGAAAGAGCCACATTCCAGAAAGGAGAAAAAAAAAAAACCCAGGAGTTCTGAACCTACCTTGTGCCCACCCACCGGCAGGACCTCGTGAAACACATTTGGGGTATTTTTTGTGATGCGTTTTAAAAAGCCATTAAGGTGAAGGGGGTTAAAGAGTACACTAATCATGATGTGCCCCGAGTAATGTATAGAATTGTGGAATCACTATATTGTTCACCTGAAACCAATACAACACCGTATGTTAACTACCCTGAAATTTAAAATAAAAAAAGTGAAATAGCCACTGAGATTATGTGAGGATTTTTCAAAGGCATTTCAATGACGAGAAAACCCTTAACTGCTTCCAAGTGTAAAATGGAGATATAAGGAAACTCACCCTTTGTCCTGCTGTCCATTTCTGGTTTTGACGGGTCTGGAGTTGCTGTAGCTGGAGGTAACTTCTTTCCAATACTCTGAGGAGGAAAGAGATCATTTTACTTAAAGAGATGATTCTCTCCATTAAGCAAAGAAATAAAATCAATTCATGATGGCGAAATGCTCCCGACTGCTTCAAAAAACCACACACTTAAGTTTTCGCTGTTCTGTCTAGTGGGTGCAGTTCTCTGACAGGCCGGACCCTCGCTGACAAACAAGTGGGAGAACCAGGTGGAAAGGGCTTTATCCTTGGAGGCACTCAGTGCCTTTTACTCCCATTCTTCCCTGATGTCCTTATTAAAAGGTTGATTACTTTCAGCAGACTAGACAGGCACATTTCCTCTCACGCTGTGAGAAGCTGACTACCTCTGTGGAGGCAGAGCGCCTGGCCTAGAGGAGGGGCTCAGAAGTGTCTGCAGAGTCGGAGAATGGGAGTAAGAGGGAAAGAACAAAAAGACAGAAAGAGAAGAAGTCAAACTTTCACTCTTTGCAGATGATATGATACTTTATGTGGAAAACCCCAAAGACTCCACCCCAAAACTGCTAGAACTCATACAGAAATTCAGTAAAGTGGCAGGATATAAAATCAATGCACAGAAGTCAGTGGCATTCCTATACACCAACAACAAGACAGAAGAAAGAGAAATTAAGGAGTC